TTAAGAACTCAGTTCCTACCGGAGAACACAGAGTTCGTCACAAGAAGGAAGTTAAGACAACTCCGTCAGAGTACTTCCATCCGAGACTACGTGAAACAATTTTCTACGCTAATGCTGACATACAGGACATGTCCGAGAAGGACAAGCTGTTCAGCTTCCTCGATGGTTTGAAGCCATGAGCTCAACAAGAACTAAATCAAAGGAATGTCACCGATGTGGTTGGGGCAATTGCTGCTGCAGAAAGGCTCACCGACTTTGTTTCCTCTGAAGACCCGGGAAGAAGGAAACAATCTTCAAGCAATCGCCCTCCAAAATATTCTTGGGGGAAGGAGTTGGGGGCGAACAAAATAAGAAAAGTTCCCACAAAGGGCCAAGCTCGAAAGGCAAGACCCGAAAACCTGGCGGATGCTTCTTGTGCGGAGGGCCGCACATGGTGAGGGAGTGCCCCACAAAAACAAGCACTTAATGCTTTAACAGCTTCCATTCACCCCCCCAAATCAGACAAAGGCAAGGCTGTCGCTCTTAGTTCGAGCAGTTCTGAATCCAGCAGCGACGACGAGGACTCGCAAGGACCTCGGATGGGAGCAATGCGTTTGTTGAACGTCATGCGAGGTCAAGTGGGGGAGAGCACGAAGACAAGGCTACAAAAAGCAGGAAGTAGTGAGCTGATATATGTAGACATCAAGCTAAATGGCCAAGCGACCCGTGCAATGGTAGACACGGGTGCTACCCACAACTTCATTACCGATCGAGAAGCAAAGCGACTTGGGTTGATCTTGGAGAAGAGCCCAAGTCGAATGAAGGCGATGAACTCGGAGGCCAAGCGAATCTCCGGGTTGGCGAAGGGAGTTCCCATCAAGATCATGGAGCGGGAACACCAACATAATGACGATGCCACTGGACGACTTCCAAGTGATTCTTGGAATGGAGTTCATGCATGCGGCGAAGTTGGTGCCTATGCCGTTCCTAAACTCCTTGTGTATGATGGGAGGTGACGACCCCTGCGTGGTTCCCGTCTCTCAGAGAGGAACCAAGGAACCCCAACATATATCGGCATTGCAACTGAAGAAAGGGGTGCAAAAAGGTGAATTAACCTTCGTGGCTGCTATGAAGCTAGAGCCACTCGACGAGAAGGCCATTCAAGAACCTGTTGTGGTGGCGAACGTCCTGAAAGAGTTCACTGAGGTTATGCCACCCGAGTTGCCGAAGACTCTTCCACCACGCAGAGGCGTAGATCACAACATCAAGCTGGAGCCAGGAGTGAAGCCTCCAGCGAGACCACCCTACCGCATGCCCCCACCAGAGTTGGCTGAACTCAGAAAGCAGTTAGGTGAACTTCTAAGCGGTGGTCTCATCCGCAGCTCTAAAGCACCATTCGGAGCTCTAGTTCTCTTCCAGAAGAAACAAGATAGGAGCCTCCGACTACGCGTCGTTTACCGAGCCCTCAACAAAGTGACAGTGAAGAACAAGTATCCCATCTTGCTCATCGCGGACTTGTTCGACCAGTTGGGCAAAGCCAAGTATTTCTCAAAACTCGACCTTCGATCGGGGTATTGGCAGGTGCGCATTGCTGAAGGCGACGAAGCGAAGACTACCTGTGTGACCAGGTATAGAGCGTTTGAGTTCTTGGTGATGCCTTTCGGCTTAACCAACGCTCCGGCCACGTTCTGCACTCTCATGAACCAACCATTCAAGGAGTATTTGGACAAGTTCGTAGTCGTCTACTTAGACGATATCGTCGTCTACAGTCAAACGCTCAAGGAGCATGTCCAGCACCTTCGGACAATTTTCAAGGTTCTCAGGGAGAACACTTTGTTCGTGAAAAGGGAGAAATGCTACTTTGCCCAAACAGAGATCTTATTCTTGGGACATCGAATCGGTGATGGCTCCTTTCGCATTGACAAATCAAAAGTGCAAGCGGTTGCGAAATGGCGAACTCCAAAGAAGGTGCTAGAGTTGAGATCCTTCCTTGGTTTCGTCAACTACTATCGACGCTTTATAGCGGGGTACTCGAAGCGTGCAACTCCACTGACGGAGTTGCTGAAGAAGGAGCAGCCTTGGAAGTGGTCTGACAAATGTGAAATAGCATTCCAAGATCTAAAGGCTACTGTTCTGGAAGAACCGGTGCTCAAATTGCTAGACTATGGAGCCTTTTGAAGTCCATACAGATACTTCAGACTTCGCTATTGGGGGAGTACTCATGCAGGAGGGTCATCCAGTGGCCTACGAGAGCCGCAAGCTCAACGAGACTGAGCGGCGGTATCCAGTGCACGAGAAGGAGATGACAGCGGTGATCTGTGCTGAGGACACAGACAACATCGCTCTAAGCTATTTCCAAACACAGAAGAAACTTTCCCCAAAGAAAGCACGATGGCAGGACTTCTTGGGTGAATTTGATATGGCAATAGAGTATAAGCCTGGAAAGGCAAATGTCGTGGCCGATGCATTGAGTCGGAAAGTGGAGCACATGAATGTCGTACAATTGGACGGCGGGGGCCAAGCAAGTCAATTGCACTCCAACTTCCTTTCCAGGATCAGGGATGGACTGTATAGTGACCCCCAAGCGGTTATCCTGATACAGCTCATCAAAGAAGGCAAGGCACGACGATTTTGGGTCCAGGAGGGACTTGTTTATACAAAAGGGAATAGGTTTATGTTCCCCGAGTGGATAATTTAAGGCATGAACTCTTAAGAGAGTGTCACGATTCCCTTTGGGCTGGACACCCAAGCATTCACAGAACATTGGCTCTTATGGAGAGGGTCTTCTACTGGCCGAAAATGGGGACTGATGTGGAGGAATATGTTCGAACATGCCTCACTTGCCAACAAGACAAGGCGGAGCAGCGGAAGCCGGTGGGACTTTTGGAGTCGTTGCACGTACCAGAAAGGCCGTGGGAGAGCATTTCCTTGGACTTCATATCAAGCTTGCCACTTGTAGGGAGACTCGGATCGATACTCGTGGTGGTCGATCGGTTTTCAAAGTATGCAACTTTCATTACTGCTCCCCTACACTGTTCAGCAGAGGCGGCCAAGCTGATGATGAAGGATGTGGTGAAGTATTGGGGAGTCCCGCACAATATCATTAGTGATCGAGACGCTTGGTTCCTGGGATGATTCTGGACCGAGCTATTCAAATTGTTGGGGTCAAAGTTATACTTCTCCACAAGCCTCCACCCCCAGACGGATGGCCATACTAAAAGGATAAACTCGCTCTTGGAGCAATATCTTCGGCACTACATGAGTGCCAACCAACGAGATTGGGTGAAGTTGTTGGACATTGCCTAATTCTCCTACAACTTGCAGCGGAGCTCTGCTTCCAACAAAAGCCCCTTCGAGATCATTACAAGACAACAACCGTCAACTCCTCACACCATGGTAATCGGGTATACTGGAAGTAGTCCGTCAGCCTACCGCTTCGCAAAGGAGTGGCACCGAAATACAGATATTATGAAGGCTTACTTGGAGAAGGCGGCAAGAAGGATGAAGAAGTGGGCAGACTTAGGAAGGCGACCGCAGGAGTTCAAGGTTGGTGATTTGGTGTTGGTAAAGCTCCAATCAGCATCACTCCAATTATTTAGGAACAAAGTCCACAAAGGATTAGTGCGCAAGTATGAAGGGCCCTTCCCAATTATCAGTAGGGTAGGCAACGTCTCCTACAAGTTACAGCTGCTGACGTGGTTCAAAATTCACAACGTTCTTCATGCCAGCAACCTAAAAGCCTACCACTCGAATCCGCAAGATGCTTCCCGAAGTGTTCCAACTCGGCTACCCCCCATCACAACCTCCTATGAGAAGCAAGTTGAAACCATTCTGGCGGACCGCAAGATAAAGCTACCCAATGGAGCTGAGCAGATAGAGTACTTGGTGAAGTGGCGAAAGCTTCCTCGAACTGAAGCCAGTTAGGAGCCTGAAGACACCCTACGACATGAAGAAGCAATCATCAACAACTACCAACAAGCGTCGACGAGGGCGTCGACAGTTTAAGTGGAGAAGAATGTCACGAACGGTCGTCGCGCACCCGCAACAACTCCGTTCAACGAACCGTTCGTCGCTCGCATCTACATGTACAGTTGCTTGGCAGCATGTTTTGTCTTGGTTTTGAGTCATTTTGCTTATAAAAATGTAAGTTCGAACAAGTTGCAGCGCTACAAAGCGACCGCTCACCGAACCAAGCAAAATAGCCCCAAAACAGCTCCGTTTTCGTGTGCCACGGGTTGTTTTCTGCAGTCCGCTTCCGCTCACCAAAACGTCAGCCATCTCAGCCCCTTGGAACCCCTCAGGTGGCACCGGGCTGGATGGGGCTTCGGTATAGTGTTGGGCATTGAACAACCTTTCGCAAGTTTGCATGTTACCTTGACGGGAACTTGTTGTCACGCCCGACACCCGGTGAGCAGCTGTTTGTGGACTTGCAGCTGTTCGTTCAACCCTCTAAAGTCCTTGTTTTCCACCTCTCCCTCTTTTCTCTTGTGCACGCAAGGTGCTCGCTGAATTTCTTGTAAAGCTTCCCCTCTTTTCGTGAGACGTCAGGACTTGTCCATCGCTCGTTCTTTCAAACTAATCAACTTTCTTTTTTAAAGGTCCTTCGGGACCTGCGAGAGGTTGCAAGTGGGCTGATCTTTGCGGAGCAATATCACGAGGGCGAAGCGCGACTTAGGCAACGCAAGCTAAGTTCGAATCTTTGCCGCAAGGATGCCTCACGACTTAGGCAATGCAAGCTAAGTTCGCGTCTTGGCCGCAAGGGTGCCTCACGCCTTAGGCAATTCCAGCTAAGGTCATGACAGCTCGGTACACCGTACCATACCGTACCAAGCCCGGGTCAAAACGCCGGTACGGTATGGTACGGCGAACCTTGGTTGTAACCATTAATACAAGTAACAACATAGCCTAATATAGCAACTGCTATTTAACATTTCAGACATAAGATCCAAATATAGTGTTATCACAACATCCAATCAAGAATGAAGAGTACAACTGAAGGCAAGCATTGCAAAATGTCATACCGTTGCATAGCTGCAAAATCAGTTGTAGGAATGTCTAGAATTGGATTAGCATAAAAAGATCCTTTGAAAAAATCTGTTAAAAACAGACTATGGTCAGATCAAAAGTCATATTGATTGCTAATATATCAAATCATTTATACCAAGAGCTTAAAACTTTGTCTTAAAGTCTACAATACTTAAATTATCCCTTTTGTACTAAACAAAAAAAGAACAGATGAGGATATAAATGTTAACAATAGAACTTGCCGACTTTGCCAGACTCGAGCTTTTCCTTTCCATGGCTCCATCCAAAGTTATACCTAGAATAGAAAAAGAAATTTGTAAACTAATACTTAGTACCTTGATCAGAAAGAGATCTCTGGAAGAAGAAGAATAGTGCAAAAAACCAAAGAAGACAAGGGGGATGTCTAAAAGCTTGATGCCTGATTGAAAAACTGCTATACTTGAGAAGCTTCTTTTGAAGTATTAACTGAGTTGTTGTCAATAAGGCTATGCTTGCCATCCATTGCTTTACTATAACAAGTTTAGGAATTTTTTTTGTTTTTGCTTGCTGTTCATTTTCCTTTCTTTTCTTTTTATGCTTCTTTGACTTAGGTGAGTTTTAGAAAAGAATGGTGTTTGTACTAATTATATTGATGTTATAAAAGATATATATCATAGTGTAATTACTAGTATTAAAACTAATAGAATATCTAGTGAGTTTCCTATTAGTATAAGACTGCATCAAAGATCCGTATGCATTAAGCATTTTCACATTAATAATGGACAAACTTATAACCTATAGTCAAGACAGATTTCTTAGTGATGATATTATTTTAGTTCATGAGAGTTTGAATGAAATTTATTCTAAATTTGAGTTGTGGAGATAATCCTTAGAATTAATTCTTAGCGTATATTCACAATAGATTTCCTTGGTGTATTTTATTTGCTAATGGTATTGTTTTAGTTGATGAGAATTTAAATGGAGTTAATTCTAATTGGAGTTGTGGAGATAATCTTGGAAAATAAGATTTTAAATTGAATAGGACTAAGACTGAGATGTAATCTTAGTAATAGTAGGATTAGACATGAGGATATAGTTAAATTAGATGAGCAAAGAAATATCCTATTAAGTATAAGTTTTAGATATCTTGAAATTAATTATTCAACAAGAAGAAGACACGGATAAAGATATTATCTATGGAAACGAAATGAAGAGAGACATCAAGAGCTTTGTGTGATCATCATCTCTCAAATTGAAAAAATCTAAAAAATTATTATTAGACCAATGATGTTTTATGATGAAAATATTGAGATGAATGTGCGGAGTTATTAGGAGAGATATAGAAATAAATGTTTTTATTTGTGAACAATTAGATGTAGCTTCAATAAAGGATAAGATGAGAGAATCATTGAGATAATATGAACATATGTAAAGAAGAAGATGTTGTAGTCAGAAACTGCTAGTATCAATTGTACGAGAAGAGGCAGACAAAGATGAAACAAACTTTATTAAAAACTACAGTTAAGGAATTAAATACTCTTAACAAAAAAAATTATGATTTTATGTAGCTCAATGACAATAACTAGAAAATATCTATGTAGCCGACCACAATGTTGGGACTTTTAAGACTTTGTTGTTGTTGTTATTGGTTCTTTAACTAGGGCACTAAGAACTCCTACTATGTTATTCCTGTAAGAATATATAACTACTTCGATCTATACATGAGATTTACCTATAATACTTTTAATCATACTAGTTGTGTGCTTCTATTAGATAAATATTCTTATTTATTCTAGACTCTACTTCGGATCAAGCACTTTGTCTAGTTACCAATTGCTTATATTGGTCCTAGCCACTTAATATTTAGTTCCAACGAGGTCAGATTGGATTTTGGTCAATTTGGAAAGTTCAACTAGTTCAACCAATTCATCCAAATCCTAGAAATTTTAACACAAATTATTAAAGAAAGGAGAATCCATGATCTAAATTCAACCATGCGAATCCTATAATCAATCATAATCCAATCCCAGTGCCATGGACATTAGCTCTATTCTCTATATGCTCTATGACCTTTATTGTCTTAACATGGACTACTTTGTTACCAAGTTGATGTTTAAGAAGTCAACTAATCTGGAATGCTTCTATAAGAAAAACCTAAATGCTCTTCAAGGCTATAGCATGTTAGATATCCTTGAGATGTATACTTCTAAATTATACCCACAACATTCTTTAATTTAGAACAGAGTGATGGTATTTGGGTTATGGCTTGAGATTAATTAACAATAGAATCAACCAAAATAGATGGGACTCTTTTTTTGAAATACCCATGGTAATTGCTTCAAGATCAATCATGATCTAACCTTAACCATTAGACTAGACTCTATAGAAATTGGTCAAAATGAACTTACTCAGAGCCAATTAATTCCATGCTGAGATCAAGCCACAAACAAGTCTAACAATCATTTAAAAGATCAAAGGGTTCTGGGTGCCAATAAATTAGCCAAACAGTTAAGGATGGATACAACATGCCATGTACTATAGTTTATGCAATTTTGGCACTAACTAATAAGTTCATTTGTTGCATCAAAGCAATCTACTCACAAGCACATATAATTCTCTTAGTGTCCTAAATGATCACTCATATAGTGTGGCTCTAATAAAAAAGTATCCATTGTAAGAACAATATGAGACATGAATAAAACATCTTTCTTATCTAACAAGTTCTAAACATAATTCCTTGGATATCTTTAGATCTATGAGCCTTTTAATAGCTCATAGTCCACTCAACATCTTCCCTTCATCCTTGGATTTTGTTTTATTATGGAGTTGCATGTTGGAAAAACAAGTACACCAATAAAAGCTGACGGAAGAAACATCTAATCACTAATGCAGATCTCCACCAGAATTCAGTTGATCAACTCCAGAAAAGTAGAATCACTTTCTTTATGCTTCTTGTTGTAACAATGATTATCAGAGACTTAGACATAGTGAAGAAGTGAAAAGAATTTACATATGATGAAGCATCAGTCTTAGATGAACTTATCATATAAACCACCAAGTTCCAACATAAACTGGTTAACTGGTTTAACCATATCATGCTTCAGTCTAAGAGTTGTACTAATTACTAACAAAATTTTATCATTCTTTTTCTCCAAAGACCATGGGAACCTGAATAGAGTAAAAAGATACCCTATTAAACCACAAAAGAAAACCAACAAAAACATTATGTGCATATTAATTACTAAGAAGAAAAAGGGTGACCAAGGTGTTATTCAGAAAAAGATCAAGCACAACTCTAGACAATACAATCATCTGTATGAGGTTACTAACTATACCCAAAAAAAATGTTATAAATTTATAGAACTAGTGTGACACACAAGTAAGCTCACTAATGAATTGTCAGAAAGAAAAAAATGACAAGAAAATTATTATATGACTGAAAATGTTGTCAATCATATCCTACTATGCAGATAAAAAAAAATCAAGAATCATATTAGCTTTATACTCTTTCCTTTCTTCACTTATTTTAACAAAAAGTGGCTTACTTTATATCTTGCATGCATTACATAATATTAAATATTAACAAACAATTAAATCAAAGGAAAACATGACATTGTTCAGACACATTGACCATGGCTTATAGTTATCCCTACAACTGTGGGTATACTGCTAAACACTTGTCCTGGGTTGAGCCCCGGGATTTGATAGCGGCCTTGAAAAGTCACCTACAGACGCTTTATGCCCAATCATAGTTAGAAGTCTCTATTGAGACATCTGAGTTGGTTATTGAATTATTACACAAGTGATATGTCTCATGTTCGAGTCCACATGTGAACGTTATATACGTCATTTAATGTAATAAAAATATCTTTTTTTAAAAAAATATATATGAATCTCAACTCAAACTAAGGCTAAGAAAACAATGATTTCCTCTTAATTGAATGGGTTTGATTGGGTTGGGTTTGCTTGCTTCAAGCAATAGGAAGTAGAAATTACATGGTGTTAGCAACCAAAGCCCAAATTGTTCTCTTGTCCACTATAATCTTACAAGGCCACATTAAAATTCAATACCTGCTTTCTGGGTCTTCAAGCTCTTTTTTCACATCATCAGGAAGCCTTGCAACACTGTAAGGCAAGGAGGATGAAACAAGAGATACTCATCAAAATATCTTACACTAAGAGCATAGAGCAATTTAGTTTCTATTAAGGAAATTTAGAAATGCATACCTGGGTGCAAGGTGTAGGAGATTCTGACGTAACAAAGAAAACCCAGGCACCTACAGCAGCAGAGATAAGGTTCAAAAGCAAGCTTGTTCAAGTGTAAAAACTATGAAATCACATAATATTCTCCAATCAAAAGAAAATTTATTCAAGACTTGCGAATAACATTCAGTGTATGCTGAACAACAGTTTTTTGCAGTGGTCTTGTGTTGCTTTAATATACAGCTTCAAGATAAGTAGGCAAATCATTACTATATGTTCGTGGAGCTAAGAAAATTTTGCTTTCAGGAAATCTGTAAACTTAAAGTCCAAATTTGAGAATCTCAAATTATATGGATGGTGAGAGAATCAAAACTCATCCATCATACAACAATTCCACGATATAGGAAAGCTCACAGAACATAAAATTTTTTCTTCTGTAACTGTAAACTTATAGAGCAAACTCAAATTTATCAACAATCCGAAACAGTAGAGAGCAACAAGGTATTAAGTCAAAATTTGAGAATCTCAAAAGCCAAGACCCAGCAACGATACCACAATGGAAATTTTGTGGATGTCTCGAAGAAACCAACCCGATCGCTATATGACGTCACGCAAAAAAAGAATATAAAAGTAGAACGAACCCGCTAAATTACACATACATCTGACACCGAGATGATTCCCAATCCATTGGGCCCAAACCCTTCCTCGATGTTCATCGACAGATCTCTGCTCTTCTCCTGATAGCATCATTAAGGCCCGCCAAGATAAGACGAAGAAGAGGAATTGTCGGGAGCAATAGATGGAAAACGCTCAAACCTAAAAACAATATTCAATGGAAATTGAGTTTAGAACGGCGATGACCTTGATATCTGAGTAGGAGATGGTGACTGTCCTGGCCGTCGGAAACGCTCCCACGGTCTCTGCGGCCATGGAGATCCGGAGCGGAGAACGGCAAGCGGACGGGGATCGCGAGGATAGGAAGGGGTGGTCGAGCGCAGGACGTTGTTGGGCAGAGAATAGAGCCATTTGATCTCTCTCGCTCTGATGAGTCGAAGGGAAGAAAGAGCAGGAACAGAGACTTCCTTTGGCGGTCGCGTAGGAGGAGCGAGTAAAAAGAGATGAAAAAAGGGGTCTGCTTCCTCTTACGTGGAAATTAGTGGGTCGGGATTGACTTTGATTATTTGAATTTGGAAGGTAATAATTTTTTTATTTTAATTATACCTTAAACAACCCTTATAATAATATAAATACAAAAATGAAAAAACATAATTAATATAATTAAAAAATAAGAACAATATGATAAGAAAAAATATTACAAATTTATACAAAAATAAAATAATAATATAAAACAATGTAAGAACCAGATAATAAAAAATATGTCACAGTAAATAAATAAAAGAGCTTATGAGCATAAAATAATATGAAATAAAAAACCATCTTGTCATATAAATAAGTAAAATTATATTAATTATTATAACTAACTTAAATTTTGATTTTGATTTTGACCAAAAAAACGCATGTAAAAAGGACTTAGTATTCTAATTTTAACAAAATATTAATCAAAATTAAATATTTTTTTAAAATAAATGATGAAGATAAAAATCAAATCTTATGATACACTATCAAGATCTTTAACAACTATTTGACATTAATCAAATATGTTAAGCAAACTGACCATTATAATTTTGAGGTGAAATTTGAATCCTCGTCAACCAAACGTCACGTAGATTTTTTTTTTTTTTTTGTCTTAAGAACAAGTCATAATTGTTCTTCTTTCATTAACGTGTGCGGAGAGAATAAATGAGAGAGAGAAATTTTTTTTTTTAACCTGATTTTCACCCACAAGTTCAATTGCATCATAATCATCCGTAACTTACATGGGTATAAGAGTGTCTTGAAAATACATTTAAAATATTCAGGCTCAATACATATTTTACATATCAATTAAATGTTTTATATTTTTTTCAAATCATATATAATCTGAATATCATATTAAAAATACTTAAATGCTGATGCTACATCATAATATCATTAGCATTTTAGTATTTACAGAATATTAATATTTTTTTTAATTTTAAAAATACCCTATGATTTTATTTAAAAATATAAGATTATTAAAATGACTTAGTAAGAAACCAATATGATTTATATTTTTATAAAATAAATTTTATTTATTTATTTTTAAAGATTTTTTTAATTTATATATTTGATTATATTTTTGTTTATTATATATTTGGGACATATGAAATTTTTATAAGATTGTATACATTTATTTATTTATTTATTTATTTTTATTTTTTACTTATTAATTAAATTTGTCAATACACATACTTACATCAAAAAATATTCTATGACTTTTGAAATATAATTTTTCTAAATAATACTTACGTCAATACACATTTAAAATATAGATTTCATCTATTATTTACCAAATATTTAAAGAATTTCTCAACTACACATTCACTCAAATTATTTTTTTCAAATACAGATTGAAAATACAAATGTATTATTGCAACCTAAAATATAATAACTTCAAAGTTCAAATTAGTATAATATCATAAGTCAAAATATTTCAGTGTATTGCTTTAACAGTCAAAGGTGGCCATCAACCCCTATTCCAATAGCACAAAGGACAAATATAATCTTAAAAGCAATAATCTCACTATAAGTTGTTGTGGCACCACTTACTATTATATATTAAGTTCAAACAAATTTAGGAAATCCAACAGCAACACTTTTTTCAATATACCACAAATATATTAGACAAAGACTCTCTTTATCCTATATCCCTACATCGATAGATACAAGAAAAATACAAGAAACGCAAGAAAGTCAATAGAAGATTTACATGATCTAACATATTTTGCCTAAGAAACGCAAGTTCTTTATAAGAGAAAAACTAAATATAAAGGAAGTTTCTCTTATAGCAATCTTAACTCAAGTCCCAACTCTTCTACACCCTCTTATATAAAACTAAAGAATCATTTTTTCTAACTTTCTAGTCTGTCTCTCCCTCTCATCAAAATCTTACGTATATATCATATTTATAGAAATAATACTAATTTACTGAATACTTTTCTTTTTATTTAGATTCTTAATCGAAATATAATCACATTTTATCAAGGAGTTTGAATCTAATTATAAATTAAAACTCTTAATATATTTACTCGTCCTAGCAATTTTCTCACTCAATGCATCTCTTTGATGAAAATCTGAATGATGCAACTTTATTATCTAGATTTCATCGTTATCGTTATTATCCAAATGATGCAAGTTAGACAAAGAAGTTGGACTTAGATACTATGTTTAGTCAATTAGTATTTTAGAACATCAGATACCATCATACCACAGGTATGATAATATGAAAGAAGAGTATGTTCAACGAGTATCCAGCAAAGATGTTTCTATATCTAAACCATAATTTTCTTGGATGATCTTCAATTGTTAACAGAGCTACCGATTTTTTTATGACATTATTTCTCCAAAGAAACAGAGAATTTGAAAACGAAGGAACTTAGACATAAAAAATTCATGCCATTGCTCAGTTGGAAAAGAGTATACTTGTAATCCATAGTATCCATCTCGCCGGCATCCTTGTGCCAACATCACACTTTCTCAATTCCCATAAAATTTTGGATGAATACATAACAATTAACAACCATAAAAGCCTAATAGTTCATTCTAGAAATTATCTTTAAGTGCTCAAAGCACACAGGATATTTAATCTATTAGATTATAGCATCAAAGAAGAAAGAGAGCCACGGACATTGATGTGTGGTCTTGGCGTTTATTTTTAAGGCTATGGAAGCCTTGAGATGGGCTCCAAATTGTCAACAAAGCATATTTCTTTTTGGTTACAATTGCACTTATGCATCACTATTTACATATTTGCAGGAGGGAAGTCCCAAAGGTAATATAAGTTGATGTTGAAGAAAGACCACTATTAACACATTTGCGGGAAAGAAGTCAAAACTATAATAGATTATGTTATAGACATCTCATAAATTATAGCCCATGACACAAATAATACTAAGAATTCTTGCACAAACAATATCATATCAGCTATCCTTTTGATGACGGCCTTTACGGATGCACCGTAAAGATACCTAATAATGCATAAAGAAGTAAAACAAACCTGAACTGGAATCATAGCTAGCCAGCAACCACAGACAATATAGCCCTTTGGTAAGAGCAGAACACAAAACATGAAATTGAACATTGTGGATACACAGGATCGTCAGATGATCCAAGGTTGCCTGCATCCTTGTTTGATGACCCTCTGCTGCCTATCCCAAGCTCTGAAAGTGTCACTAACAAGCAAGGTGCAGCGTGAAAATTGCAATGGATATTTGTTAGTACAGCACTTTTTCAACAGAAATAAAAGAATAAATGGACTACATGCTCACCTAAATATTTTTTCACCACAGCTAATGCATGAATTCTAGCCGAAGCCTTGTTTTATACAATTTGGCACTAAAACCATATTGACTGATATCCTAAAGCCTAGACATAATCGAATATTCAGTGAAAAAAGCGACGTCGACAGCGGGGTGATCCAATCTCTTCATATTCGGACTTCGTGATGCACATTGATTCAAATTCAGGACTGGATGCCAACAGCGAACCACCTCGCCATACACCTAGAATAGGACTGGTCATGTGGCGCAAACACAACAATTAGCTTAAGGCAAGAAGATTCGAGGGGAACGGAACATAAAGAAGCCATACTCTTCTTGTGAAGTAATCTTCACTTGATAATCATCAGGCACAAGAGGTCGAAGATCCCTTTCTCTGTAAGGAGAAAAATAACAAGTCACAGAATCCATACCTCGTAATATGTTTAACTACAGATTCCAATTGAGCTAATTACAGGCTTCTTATGAACTGAACCATACAAAATGGCTAGCATCCTGAGATATCTGCCAAAACAGTTTTAGTTATTTGTGCTATGCCTCGTTACTTTATCTTTGGTATTCCCCACTCATCTACCACGTAATATGTTTAACTACAGATTCCAATTGAGCTAATTACAGGTTTGTTATGAACTGAACCATACAAACTGGCAGCATACTGACATATCTGCCAAAACAGTATTAGTTATTTTTTTCAATGCCATACTTTATCTTTGGGATTCCCCACTCATCCAATTATACATTAATTTCCATTGCTGATATTTTATCTCCATTTTGTAGCAGCACATGCTTATGATATCTATTATATCAACAGGTCTTATTTGATTTTCCTTTCTCGCCAATTAACAAAGTTTATGACAAATGATAATTTAAATTATTTTTACAACAATAACTGTTTCATAACCAAGATCTTATATGATGTCAATTATTTCATAACCCTGATGATTCCTGAACTTTTGTATAGTTTGGAACCAAGATTACCAAAGTTTGTCGTACCGTAGCATATTGCTTGGTACGGACGGTACATACCGATCTGATAAGGGATTGATACGGGTAATACATCAGTATGCCCCCATGTACCATGTGTCGGTACGCTCAGTTTGGCTCGGTACAGCTCAGCACATACTGTACAGCTGGTCGGTACATCGGTATGGAATGATAAGATGAACCATGAAGATTACAGCCTATGCTAGAACACAGTAATCACTGGGAATGACATTATCTCAAAACACAGAACTTGGTCAAATGGAGAATGTACACAACGTCTTACAGTCTTTCAGCAAAGCGAGGAAATAATGAGCTTCCACCAGTCAATATGATGCTGCAATGACAATCACAATCAATAACAAGTAAGAGTTCCTGCTTGACCATAAAGTAAACTAGTAACTAAACTTGTGTATGGAGATTATTCCAATTACCTCTCAAAGAGCACAGGGTGAAGAAGAGGATGACAAGCATTTACAGCACGGACTATGCATTCAGCTAGTCCAGCTTGGTTCATACCTTTTGAAATCCAAAACAAAAATTCTCTGCATGAGTACTTTTTAGGAAAGAAGCTCAAAATCAATTGCAGTCCTTTATTTTAGTTGGATTGGTGCCTAGAAAATAAACTTTAGATATTTGATGCTAAAATTTGGCAAAATTTTTAGGATTGATTGGTAAAATTCTACAGAAAATAGGGTGGACCGGAGCTCTTACGCAGGACCTGGGAAGATAAAACATATGAGGCCTTACAGCAAGGAAGTACTACCCCAGACTTGAGCAGTTGAACCATTTCACCAGCCATGACTTAAATTTCTAAAACCAAGTTACACTAGAGCAACCTTAACATGGTTCCACAAATCAGCCTCTTAGTTATACAAAACATAGAGTCCTTTCCTTTCCTAGAGCAGTACTTACAAAAATTTTTAGTTTGAAATGCTAGCAGTGAGAATCACTCCTTTAAAGTTCCAAGGGACTTAAATTAGTTCAGATGGTTTCATAGGCTCACTGGAACTCATCTGACCCCTTTGAAAAAGGAAGAAGCATATGATATACAGTTTAAAATGGTTGCAGCATCAGTACTGGATACATGTCAATCATCAATAAGCTTTGGGGATTTTTCAGATATGCTTCCGCTGCCTCTTCATGTATCCAAGATTTTGAATAATTAAATCAAGGTAGGCAATTTCGAATGATACCGCCCGGTACGGGTGGTACGTACCGGTCCGACGGCATACCGGTACGCGGACCGCCTGCAACCGGGCAGAATGTTTAAAAGCACCCCGTATCGGACGATACGGGGTAATATAGGGCGGTAACAGTCAAATTTTGACTGTTAACTGCTCGGCACAACTCGGTAACGGTCGATTTCGACCGTTACCGCACTGTAACAGTGCAATAGTGCTCCAAAGGTCAAATTGACTGTTGGAGCCCTTTCTCATAGTATTTAAATTTTTCTCCCCTCTTTCACTCCATTAGATTTTCATACTCTCTTAAACTATCTCAAACTTTTTTTTCTCTCCTAAACTCTACAAAACAACGATTTATGAATTCAATCGAGGTTAATTTAGGAAGATTAAGAGGAAGAACTTTCTAATCAAGAGGTATGTATTCTCTTTCTTTAATTAGAGAATAATTAAGATCTTTAATATTATGATTAGTGTGTTTCATGCATATTAAATATTGAAAAATATTTATGATAGTAAAATAAGTTTAATTAAGTTTTATTAAAATTATTTAATACTGTGATTAGTCATTTTAATGATGATTTAATCGAAATTTGTTCGATTTTATGATAATTCAATGTGTTTAATACCTATTAGGATGTTTGCCATGTTTATAATGTTGAAAAAGAAATAATTAGTGAAAAATTAACAATGTTAATAATGTAATTAGTATATCTAATAATGATTTTATCATAATTTGAATCATATTTGATCAAAATTACATATTTAATGTTTCTTTTATGTGTTTGACATATATATGATGGTAAAATAGGTTTAATTAGGTTTTATTAAAGTTATTTTATGTTGCGATTAGTCATTTTGATGATGATTTAATCGAAATTTGTTTGATTTTATGTCAATTCAATGTGTTTAATATCTATTAGGGTGTTTGTCATTTTATAGTATTGAAAGAAAAGTAATTAGTAAAAAATTAACTATGTTAATCATATAATTAGTGTATCTAATGATGATTTTATCATAATTTGAATCATATTGGATCAAAATTACATATTTAATATTTCTTTTATGTGTTTGACATATATATGATGATAAAATAAGTTTAATTAGGTTTTATTAAAATTATTTAATGCTGTGATTAGTCATTTTAATGATGATTTAACCGAAATTTGTTCGATTTTATGTCAATTCAATGTGTTTAATACCTATTAGGATGTTTGTCATATTTATAGTGTTGAAAGAGAAGTAATTAGTAAAAATTTAACTATGTTAATCATGTAATTAGTGTATCTAATGATGATTTTATCATAATTTGAATCATATTGGATCAAAATTACATATTTAATGTTTCTTTTATGTGTTTGACATATATATGATGGTAAAATAGGTTTAATTAGATTTTATTAAAGTTATTTAATGCTACGATTAATCATTTTAATGATGATTTAATCAAAATTTGTTTGATTTATATCAATTCAATGTTTTTAATACCTATTAAGATGTTTGTCATGTTTATAGTGTTGAAATAGAAATAATTAATGGGAAATTAACTATGTTAATCAGGTGATGATTAACTATGTTAATCATCATTAAAATCTAATGATGATTCTATTATAATTTGAACCATATTAGATCAAAATTATATATTTAATGTTTTGTCATGTTTATAGTGTTGAAAAAGAAATAATTAATAAAAAATTAACTATTTTAATCAGGTGATGATTAACTATATTAATCATCATTAAAATCTAATTATGATTCTATCATAATTTGAACCATATTAGATCAAAATTATATATTTAATGCTTCTTTTATATAGGTAACTTATTTATGATGATAAAATATAATTAGTTATGTTTTAATAAAATTATTTAATGCTGCGATTAGTGAATTTTGATCGATATTTGGTCAATTTAATATGTTTATACTTTATAGTTTATTTGATTTAAATTTGGTAAGATTATGGCACCAAAGGAACAGTCACATGATGATGCATGGGTTCATACCCGAAAGATAGATGAGAACCGTCATCATTGGCAATGTATTTATTGTGACTACATTGGCAAGGGTGGAGGAATAACTCGAGTGAAAATATATTTGGCTGACGGGTATCCTGATGTTGCAAAATGCAAGAAGACTCCGACTGCTCCTTCTCAATTAGGCCGAACTAGTAGCATGAGGTATGGTGGACTCCGTGGTTTTATGAGAGGTCTTGGCAGGAGGTCTGCACCAGATATTGTTGATATTTATTCGCAAGCCTATCTCCCACAAACAGCAAAACAAACATAGATTGACAATGCATACACAAAAGAAAAAAAACAGGATATTGGGAAGGCAATCTCAAAATGGTTCAACTTCCACAGGATTTCAGCCAACGCAGCCCAAGGTCCATATTATCAAAGCATGGTCTCTTCTATTCAAAAGTCTAGCACGGGGATCCAACCTCCAACACCGAAGGAGATTTACGACGGGTACTTAGATGAGGAGGTGGCAGAACTAAAGGATTGGATCAAATCCTTCAAGAGGCAATGGGACGAATATAGGGTGACACTGATGTGTGATAGTTGGACAGGACCAACAAGAATAAGTATAATCAACTTTCTTATTTATTGCAACAGAAGAGTGGTGTTTCATAAGTCCATTAATGCTTCTGAAAAGATCCAAGATGCAAACTACATTAAGAGCTTGATGGACACTATAGTAGAGGAGATTGGACCACAGTATGTTGTCCAAATAATAACCGACAATGGAGCGAATTTCAAAAAGAATGGTTTGCAATTGATAGAAAAAAGAAAAACTTTGTTTTGGACTCCATATGAAGCTCATTGCATAGATCTAATGCTGAAGGATATTGGTGAGTTGGATACGGTCAAGAATTGTGTAGCTCGAACACAATCAATTACAAAGTTTATATATAATCATCATTGGGTCCACACTTTAATGCAAAAGTATGTAAACGGTGAGATACTCCGACCTGGAATTACTTGGCTTGCTACCAATTTTATTGCATTAAAGTCATTACAGCAAAAAAGGCATGACATGAAGGCAATGGTCACCTCACAAGAGTGGTCTGAACCTAGATATTCAAAATTGAGCAATGGAAAAAAGATAGAAAAGTTCATTCTTTCCTCTAGATTTTGGGAGACTACAGCAGAAATCATAAAAGGTGTGGAACCACTTTATATTGTTCTCCGTAAGGTCGATATGGACAAGCGTCCACATATGTCGTATCTTAAATATATGTTGATTTCAGCAAGAAAGGAGGTCAGGAGAGCATTCAAAGATGATTTTAAGGTCGACCAATACGTACGGATCATTGATCATCGGAACGAAGTTCATATGAATCAAAATATCCATAATGCAGGTAAATTTATATTCAGAATAATTTAATTTATTATTATTTAGATAAAAAAAAAATCATACTAACAAAATTATGTCTTGCAGCATATTATCTAAACCCGACAATTCAATATCGATATAATCTCGGAACGCAAAATGATTTCCTAACGACACTACGAAATGTTATATATCGGCTCTTGCCAATCACTACTAATGCAGCCGATGCTCTTATGGAGGGTCGATTATTTCGAGAAACAGTTGATTCATTCTCTGACATTGTAGCTATATCGTATCGTTACACGATGGATCCTGGTGAGGAAAAGTTATACATATTGATTATCAATTATATTTAATGTTAATTATTTGTTATGCTAATAAAATCTTATTTATATCTTTTTGCAGTCGAGTGGTGGCTATAATTTGGAGGGGATGCACCACATTTAAGGAAGGTTGTCGTTCGTGTACTTTCACGGACAACATCTAGTGGTTACGAACGTAATTGGTCAACGTTTGCATTGATTCTTACGAAGGTCTGCAACAAACTCTCCTACAGACGGTTAGAGAAATTAGTATATGTCAATTATAATATACGGCTAAGATTGCGATGTGCTGAGTTGGATAAGGAGTCAGAGGAACCAGATATTGATCCCATTGACCTCCAATTCTACAACGAAGATTCAGAGCCAATGTTAGATTGGGTTGAAACAGTAGAGAACCGAGGATCCTCTACTTGATGAGGCGAGAGATCCTTAGCGTCCTTCACGTTTTATCACCGAGGCAATAAAAGAAGAAGAAGCACAACCCCAATAGGTGGAAAATCCCCCTCGATTACAACGTGACAGGAGTCAAACAACATTAAGTCAAACTACTCGAGGAACTACAGACACCCAATGGTCACAGTCGTCCGCTCAGCGTGCAAAGGCATAGGGGAAGGCAGTAGCATCAGTTGCATCGTTGGAAAGAATCAAGTCAGGCGACGAGACACCTTCACAATCACGATCAGCAACTCGTTTGGTCTAGAGACAAGACAGCAACACGGACAGTTGTGCCTCGACGGATGATGGCGATAATGCCGGGCAATCATTGGTCTCGTCTACATAACTTGAGGGTGGTGCATGGATTGAGAAGCAATATTTACACATGCCACCCAAGATTCAAATCATGGAACTCGACAAGGTACTGGTCTAGTTTATGAGCGGAAGGGGAAGGAGAAGACAGTGGATGAATTTGAGCAGATACGACAGAGCCTACATGATATAGATACAGAAAGAAGCTCATCGTATTCACAGCCATCGTATTATGGAGAATCATACGGGCAACAACAGTATGGTGATAGTTGGTCATCTTTCTCTGAGCAACAGTATGATATAGAGCAGCAGATCAGTAGCAAAAGTAGAAGCTCTGACATTCACCAATATATGCCTCAAGAACTGCCTCGGACAAATATGATTCATGACGATCAGCCTACGATCAGCACCACATTGATGCATCAATGGCATACGGTGTATTAATACATTATGTCATGGGATCAATTTCATGATTGGGTCTAACAAACATATCATATTGATATGCAGATGTATAGGATCGAGGACCCCGATCCACCACCCGTGGAGGCCTGTCGTTCGTTTTGGTGGTAGAATCAACAATCAGATATATCTACATATGTGATTATTTAATTCATTTGAATTTTAGAGTTTATATTGTAACAAAATAATCTAACAATTCAAATGATTTTTCTGTAGATATTTCAATATTTACAGAAGGATAATCCATAACGGACTGAAATACGAACCTTGAACAAGACTTCCTCAAAGCCCGAAAAAGATATGTGATACTATTCTTACCTAATTTACATTGATTTTGCTAAATTTATACTATTACTATATTTATTTCTAACTTAAAAACTCTATCCTAACTTTTTTTTTATTTTCAGGTATTTTCGGAGGGTTTTACACCTTAAATTAGGTGTACCACTCGGTACGCCATGACGTACCGCTCGGTACACGGTATTGTACCGTACCGAGCCAATCTCGAAACACTGGTATGGTACGATATTGTAGACCTTGAATTAAATCATACTAACATTTATAAGATGCCTTTTGTTCTAGTAAAGCCATTTTGTTCTTATAATGTTCGTTGTTTCATGAAAATGGACATGATAATTATTTCATGTTAGAATCATTATTTCATGCAATTTGTATTAAACATCAAATAGTCATCGATAAAATTAAATTCTCCTAAGCTCCAAAGCCTGGTTCCTTTGCAGCTCCAAAAGCTATTAGGGAACAGACTTGTAGACACAGAGATGGGACAAGAATACACATCAAATGATGATATGAAAGCTAGAATATAGAGTTACTACAGTGTTAACATCCTCTATGCACATATATTGCAGCACAAGTACTCTGTCACACTGTCTGGCTGACAGATGCAAACAAGGGGGTCTGCTTTAATAATAATAATCCCAATGTTATTTACAGACAACAAAAAATTTTACATACCAGCATATGAAAATACTACTAGTGCAGATCAATGCATTGTGAATTTTTAATTCTTCGTAATAAAATTTCAACTGAATAAATTAAAATGTCATTTATAATTAAAATGCAACACTTACCCAAATCAGAAGGACGGAAAAGCATTTCAGGAACAAGGAAACGTTCATTTGTCAGGGTAAACTCCTGCACATAATAAAACAAATAAGATGGAACAGCTAGATAACGTTTAGAAATAAGAAATATCATAAGCTACATTTTGTGTCAAGTCAATTCTCCTCTGCTCCACAGATTTCTCTGCATTGTGTTGAGAGGGTGACATTTCTTCCTTCAGCCCCGAATCTGTGGATGAGCTCTCATATGGCAGAGAAAGGTACCTTCTTGCTTCATCAAAGTCCTTGACATAGCCTTTAGTATGTTCAATACCATCAGGGAGAACATATGTGCACTTGAAAGGATTGTCTTTTCCAGATCTTCTGGAGAAATAATAAATAAAAGAGAACAATAAAACTTAAGTACCACTTGTCATATGCTAAAGCTGATTATGATACAACATTGCCGATTCATATCGGCATTGTCTAAGACCAGTCTGATCTATGGCCAATATATAAAAGGAACAGGCTAGAATTAATCAAATTCAGCTGGAGAGGAGAATGAGAAGAGAGGAGCAGATTGGAAGAATAAAGTAAAGCCAAAGAAACGCAAAATAGAAACAAAAAAATGACTCTGGAACAGAGGAGATATTGACAAATATAGTGCCACTGCAACAATTATATTTGCTGTTTGCCACCAGTGTTGGAATATTTGTCATTCGCCGCATTGGGCTGTTCTCATCAGTGACCGCCTGGCAACACAAAACATATATGACATGCATGTTTACAGTCCCACAAGTTTAAGGTGGAAACACAAAAGTAAAAAGTACAAGCATCAACGAGAAGATTACAGAAATATACAACTATGTGCAATCTCATCAAAGGCATAAGCAACTTGCAGGGTTATACCATCCACATAAAGAAACTAACCATATTTCTCAAGACTGAACACTCCAACTGTCAATAACAAAATTATGTATTCTTCGATAAAAAAAAGTTGATCATCAACACCATGTAGTGCATTACATATAGTAAGTCCATATTTAAAATCCAAATACTTATCATTCCTCGCTATAAGCCTGTAGTATGGATCTGAAATTTGCATACAACATTCAGTTAACTTTCTGTGGTCCATGACCATTAGACAATTCCAACCATAAGGCATCATTGTGAGATTTAACTTTCTGTTGCAACACCTGCTTGTCATTGATATGCCGAATGACTAAGCACATGAGAGATGCCACTAACAAGTTAATTGCCAGTTTAAAGCCTATAAAAGTCTTCTCTATATCCAGTCCAAAGCTTTTTAAATCCTTCTGTGGCTTCCCTCATATGCTAGTTTAGGATTATTATCTCTTTCAGAAACTTTTCAGGACTAGATTATGCACTTATCAAACAAAAGCTTTGACATTTTTTCAATTTCCTCAAAATTAAAAAAATCAATCTGGCTACAACAACTTGATTCTTTGAGTTCCTGGTTCTACCACATTTAAGCTCCTGTTTTCAATCCTTAAAAAAAAAAAAAGTCTTTGTTGAGTTTAGAGTCACGTGGTATCTTGCTCTTCATGTTATTCACTCAAGATGTTCTCCCAGGAAAGCAAGACTTATCAAACACACTGTGCCCCAAAAGATACCTGTTATTATATTAACCTAAAATTCTTGCTTATATCTATCACTTCAATTTTCACAAGAGAGATATTGGAAAGTATATTGATCAAACAGTTAATCAATATCAGATATGGCTAGAAACCATTTCCCCAATTTTTCAGCCTAAAAGGGCAAATGTCCATACATGTTTGAACAAGGAAGGTTAGAAACAAGTTCTAAAAGCAAAGACAATCATCTCCTCACAATTTGTGAGATCTAAAGAGGTATGAGTATACTAATACTAGTGATACAATGTAACAAGCAAAAGATAAGACTTTCACGATCGAGTCAGACAGCAATGCTTCCATGCTATGAAGGCAAGATACGATGTTGCTGGGAATTGATAATTGTGCCTGTGGTTGAGCATTCAGCCAATAAGTAGGAAATCGATATGCAAAACCAAAATTAAACATCAGAGTTTTGCCGCTGCAAAACTAGAAAGAGAAACTCATGACAAAACCACCGGGTACACAGGAATCCGCAATGCGAAACCATATAAGACCTGAGAACGTTGCCATCGCAAGAATTAGGAAAAGAATCACTAGGGTAGAAAAAGAAAGAAAAGAGATCCTACTCGTCAGTGAAGGCAACGAGTAACCTGAGGTTCAGGCTGCCCTCATTCTAGGTCAACGATGAACGGACTCACGGAGAGCTCGTGGATATGGTATCAAGACGAAGAAAACCCAAAGAAAAGGCAGAGAAAGAGTCAGTTCACCTGGCGACGCGGAGATCGCGGGGTACATCGAGGGAAACGAAGCAGAGCTTCTCCTTGGCGTGGTCAATGATGAGGGTCTCTTCCATGAGGTTGACGGAGCGGTAGGAGACGAGCTCCTTGAGGTAGTTGGTGAGAGCCTTGCCGCCGAGGTCAAGGCGCCTGACCCCGTAGTTGAGGGTGAAGTTGTGGACCACGGGGGCGGCGTGGGTGAAGGAGAAACCGCAGTCCACCACGAGGCTGCACTGGGAGTGGGACTGACAGTCCGTGCGGCGACTGGCCTCATAGAGATGGACGAGGGAGGGTGAGTCGGCCACGCAGAGGGAGCGGAAGCCGAGGTCCTCAAAGACGATCTCGTCGGTGGTGCGCTGGGCGGCCAGCGGGTTGAAAAGAGGCTCCACCAAGAGGAGCGAGGAGCGGGCAGGGTCCACACGGAGCAGGGTCCGAAGGACCCTTTCCCACACCTCCCTCTGGAGATCCGGATTGACGAGGTAGCCGCGGTCAAAGGGCCGTCGGAGGGACACGGAAGTCACGTCAGCATCGGCAGCACGGAGCTCGTCCGCCACCAGCCACCTTTTCGAATTGGCGGAACGGCCGAGGCTATTGGGGACGACGGCGATAGGATCCATATCTCCGCCGAAACCGGCCTTGCACAGCCCAGCCCCATTGTCGATGACCACGGCGCTTCCTTTCGACATGAGTTCTCCTCTCGCACTACCTCAGTCGTTATCTCCCTATGGCCACCACCTCGGACTCAGCCGCTGCCGCCGCCGCCGCCGCCGCCTCGCGTCTTTCCTTCCCGGCCATACCTGTACCTTCGGGTTGGCTTCGGGTTGAAGATGTACGTCTCATATCGTCTCCAAGTGCATTTGTATGAGTCCGACTTGACTATGGGATCGTCCACCACTCGGATCAAACATTTTGAAAAATGTTTCCTTTTTTTCGCTCACAGAAAAGCTACCCCTTCATATCATATCGTATTCTAAGACTAATTATATATATTTATTTTTTATAATTAATTATTTTTAATTTTTTATTTTAAAAAATTATATTAATATTCATATAATTACAAATGTAAAACAATTAGGTGCATTTACCCTAATGATGTTAGTTTATCAACAAAAATATAAAAATAAATTATAAAAAAATAATTTTAACATTTGGTAGTGGACGATGTCGATGGCGAACGACAATGCTGCAAGCGCCGGTGGTGGCGGACCCCTCCCTCTTTGTATTGGTGTCGATGTAAAAGACGAGTAGTTACCGCCCTTCGATCCATGCTCTCTTAGCAACCTTTGCACCATGTTCGACCACCTCCCCGATGAGTGGTTGTTGTTGTTGGATGAGACCATCATCTCAGCCCATGCCTCCTTGATCATCTGCAACACCTCCCATATCGACGGTTGCTTCTCCACCTCGATGCGATGCACGCCCCTCCTTCTCTGCAGTATCCTCCTCCCTCTTCTACCATGCACTCGAGTCCTGCCTTCCTCTCCGACGTTTACACTTTGACATCCTCCTGGAGCTCCTCATTGGGAAGACCCCCTTCCAGGACCCGGTGGAGGATCATGACGCCAACTGCTACACATGTCATCGCTAGATCAAAGTTTATAGACTTGAATCTTCTTAGTCTAGAAGTTTAAGAAGAATTGTTCACTCTTAAGATTTGAGTGTAATGAAGGATTATCGATGTGATCATTGACATCGAAAGCCAAAAGAACCTTATCTCGACAAACTTAGGACAAAATCTTGGTCTCGAGACAATCCTCACCTGAAGCCATATCTGTTAGGGTGGATTAACAAAAATGTCTAGATGAAGATAGATTACTAGTGCACATTCAAATTTACATTCACTAATAAGTATATTAATGAGGTGATATGCAAGGTGATGCCCCTCGACATAAGTCAAATCATCTTCGAGAGCCTGTACTTGTGGGATCGACAATCCATCTACTATCATTGGCCCTAATAGTATATGTTCAGGAAGGACAAAAAGAAGTTCATTGTCAAAAAGGACAAAAGCAGACAATTGCCCAAGAAAAGAGGATAATGAATGTGTGTCTAAAGTTTGTGCTGCTAGTCATAGGTTCCCAACAAGTCAATCACGTGAGTGATGGCGCGTGTGACTTGATACATAATCTTTTTGCTTATTATATTTTAGCGTATATCACTTTATAACTATTGCATAAATGCATATATATATATATATATATATATATATATATATATATATATATATATATATATATATATATATATAAAGATATT